TTTTTTCACATATTAAAGTTTTAGTTATGATAGTTCCAAAATAATTCCACAGAAATCCACAGATTTGTTTACTAAAATTCTCAGCAGAAATAGCTAAAAACGTCTGCAGATGCCGTCTGTCCCTACTTATAAGTATATATTTACAATATACAGACATTAACAGAAAATAGCCAAATAAATGAATAAATATAAAAAAGAAAAATATAATAATTTAGTAATAATAATAATAAATAAGTAGCAACAATAATAATAATATTATTACAAATATTGATGAAAAAATAAAGTGATATATATTTTCCCACAATCATAAAACCAGTTTTGAGCAGACACTCATCTCTTTTCTCATAGTAAATTATCCACTGCAGATGAAGACATTAGCTTGTTATCTTCAAGATTCCCTCATGTCTGAAGGAAAAAAAATTGGACCGCTCATGTCTTTTTGAACTTTTGTGCTGATCCGCTGTTAAAAAAAAAAAAAATCTCAGCAGATGTCTTTTTGAATAGGAAATCATGAAAAGAAACGTCCGGGCTGCGGGTTACTTTTTGGATCCAATGCAGCTTGTGGCTCACTGTGACCCACTGCGGTCTCTCTTTCAATGCACCGGACACCTACATGTTTCTAATCCAACAAGGACACCCCCACACAAACACACACACACACACCAACCCTACTCTCTAGAAACATGCACATACAAGCCTTGTACTCCTACTCACACAGACAGCTTGTTATATCATCTCTAATCCCAGTTACACACCACTTTATTCATGTACATGCTCGGGTACAGACGCCAGATACTAGGGCTGGGCTTTATACTGTATATGCAAAAATAATCATACGCAGCAGTATTAGGATTGTACTTTTAATAATGACTTGGTCACTTATTTCCAAAAAAGAAAGCATTCTCTCTGCATGATGATTGACCCAATAATTCAAGTTATGAAAGCAGAACATGTTCCTGTGTGGGATTAAATAAGATGTCATGTTTTTTTAAAAATAATATCACACAATTCGGCATGGATTTTGCAGTGTTCAAACTATAAGAATTTATATTTGACACATTTTATATTTTTTGAATATATATATGCATACATTTATACTTTGATGTTTTTATATATATATATATATATATGTGTGTGTGTGTGTGTGTGTGTGTGTGTGTGTGTGTGTGTGTGTGTGTGTGTGTGTGTGTGTGTGTGTGTGTGTGTGTGTGTGTGTGTATATTGTGCATGAGCCGATTACTTCTGCTCATGCACAAAATTTCTTGCACGCCCCTCGAATATACACTGCTCAAGCGCATGTTCTTGTGCGCTCTCAAATAAACACTGCTAAAGTGCGATTTAGTGCGTTTATGTTACAAGTATGTCTTCAACATTTATTTTATTTGCTAGGAATATTTATGAATGTCTCCAATAGACCTACAGAGCGGTATTAATGCATGTAAACCTTTCCAAAGGCGTTTCTGTGTGAAGTTTGCATGTTCTCCCTGCGTTTGCGTGGTTTTCCTCCGGGTGCTCCGGTGTCCCCCAAAGTCCAAACACATGCGTTACAGGTGAATTGGGAAATCTAAATTGTCCGTTGTGTATGAAAGTGTATGGATGTTTCCTCAAGATGGGTTGCAGCTTAAAGGGCATCCGCTGCATAAAACGTGCTGGATAAGTTGGCGGTTCATTCCGCTGTGGTGACCCCAGATGAATAAAGGGACTAAGCCAAAAAGGAAATAAATGAATGAATGAATGAAGGAATGAACCTTTACAAATTGTCATTATATCATCTGTTTGGCTTTTAACACTACACTGATCTTATTTTACAGCAGTTTTCTTGGCAGTGCAATCTAAAATTGAAGTCAAACTAAAACAACAAAGTCTTAAAAAGTGAACACAAGAAAGTTGTGTCCAAACCTGCGGCACCTCTGTCCTCTGAGACACTGCAGAAGTTGAAAAGCTCCCCATGTGTGTGTGTGTGTGTGTGTGTGTGTGTGTGTGTGTGTGTGTGTGTGTGTGTGTGTGTGTGTGTGTGTGTGTGTGTGTGTGTGTGTGTGTGTGTGTGTGTGTGTGTGTGTGTGTGTGTGTGTGTGTGTGTGTGTGTGTGTGTGACTCTGGTGCTCTTCATTATATCTGCTGTCTCTATAGTGTAAGCTCCATATTCTTCCTCACTCCCAGAAGCCCCTGGGGTGAGAAATCTGCCCTCAGGCTCTGTTGAGTCTCATTTTCCCCATGATGCATCAGTCAGTAGGCTGGCATACAAACTCCATATGCTCCCCGGGGGCTTGTATAGGGCCCAGGCTGTGGTCACCGAGAAACCTCAATGCTTCTCTGATCAAGACTCAAATCCTATAGTGAGCTGCCTTGCTGTCTATAGCTTACAGTATATAGACAGGAGACTTGATTTGGATTGATTCCAGTATTGTTTGTCTGCTGCTAAATTATGGTGTGATGCTTTATTGCATCTATCCTGGAGGGCCTGTGTCCTGGAGTTTTGCTCCAACTTGCTTCAACACAAGATCTAGTAAATATATCAAGTACAAGCTTGATTAGCTGGTTCAGGTGTGTTTGATTAGGGTTGAAGGGGAGCTAACTCTCCTGGACACATGCACCTCCAGGACTGAGCGTGGAGACCCCTGCTTTAATTATGAATATATAGCACAGTAATGCAGGGTCTTAAATCTTCAGAAAACAAAACATATTTCAGGCCTTGAAAAAGTCTTAAATTTGCTGAAATAGTGTGTTGTAGGTCATTAAATAATTTTAAACAGGTCTTAATTTTCTTTTGTCCATGTAAAGCATGAAATCTATCCTCAACACTCATCCAATCAACAGATTTAACAAAGTTTTGATTATTAATTATATTTAACAACATGATTTAATTATCTTCCTCACAGTAACATTTGGTTAAAGTTTTTCCATGTATTTATATTATTTAAAATATGTGTTTAAGAACTTTTTAAAGAGAGAGGGGACATATTTAAACCTGTATACAGTATGTGTGAAATGTTATTCATGCTGCTTTTAAAAGTGTCTGTAAAAGTCTTAAACTTGACTTGGTGAAATCTGAGTAAAGTGTTGAGTGAAGTATTGCATTAGGTTAGATCTGTATTTAACATTATTCATTTAATTTCAATTGTCAAAATGTAATTGTTGAAGGTTAAATTAATATTGCGCCTGTGTAATATAAATTATTTGGTAAAAGCATTGTTTAACGGAGAGAACACATTTTTTAATATAATCATTCTAATAACTAATTTCTATGATGATAGTACAGTACATAATATTTTACAACTGTTTTGTAAATATTCGTTTTCTGCTTAAAGTGCAGTTTGGCTTAACTAGCCAATTATTAAAAACATAAAAATTTAGAGGGACTAATAATACTGACTTTAAAAAAAAGTAATGATTATAATAAAATAAAGTTGCTTTTATTCCAGCCAAACTACAAGAAATAAGACTTTTGTCTGGAAAAAAACACTAATATTAAAATATTGTGTTTTTAAAAATGTGCAAATAATTTTGCCTTCAATTGTGTATGTTTTTTTTTTTTTGGAAAGCATTTTTCATTTAATTGTATATTTATAATTTAAAAATCAGTTATTTAAAATGAATAATATCGTTTCTAATTAATACTGCAATTTCTAACCTGTCGCTATGCCCATCGCAATGCATTTTATATTATTACATTTAATATTAAAACAAAATTTTGGCGAAAATTCTTCATTTATGTTTAATTGAGATATTTAATTTTAATTTTTAATTCATTTTAAATAATTTAACATCGGTCATTTTATTGTAACTAATATTATCATATAAATATAATTTTTTTGATCATGATACTATGCTTATTTAACTCGCAATATAATGTAATATTTATTTACATAGCGCATTTTTCATGTATGGCCCCAAATACACCCAAAGTGCTTCTCAATCATGAGGAAGGGTTGGGCGGCTATGATGGGCAAGGGCCAGAACACCAGGGTTAAGCCGCCTTTCCACTGCACACAACATTTGGACATGACTGTCGGAATACGCCCCCTTGTGGCAGCCGCACAGTATTTTCAGTATTGTCGTGCACCACGGGGGAGAAGGTGATTCTCAACGGTGTCCGCAAAAGCAATAGCCTTTATTCTCTGTGCGTTTACATAGTTTAATGGATGAATGAATACTAGAAACTCATAGACCGCTAAAATATTGGAGGGAATGTGGAGACAACATTAAAATATATATATTTTTATTACTTTCTTACTTACATTTATGAACAGAAAAGTTTTTCTTTAATATAGACTTTTTATAATTTAAAAAAGAACCAAATAAACTCCTATTTCTCATCTCGCGCGCACGGACCTACTTGGGCAACACTGGAATACATCATATCCGGTCGGCAGGTCGCATACGGTCTAGTCGCAGAAGTTCAAATATTTTAACGGATCCGCAGCTCAATTCGGATCCGAATTTTCCGCATACGGAGATGATCGGAACTCAACGCAGCTCCCGGACTGCTCTCCATTGGAGATGAATGACATCCGGTCTGCCACTTGTCGTTTGTCGTGTGCAGTGGAAATGCGGCTTTACACTCCAACTCTTCATGAGAAGTGCCATTGGATTTTTAATGACCACAGAGAGTCAGGACCTCAGTTTAACGTCTCATCAGAAAGACGGTGCTCACTGACAGTATAGTGTCCCCTTCACTATACTGAGGTGTTAGGACCCACACAGACTACAGGTCGAGCGCCTCATTAACACCACTTCCAACAGCAACCTAGTTTTCCCATGTGGTCTCCCATCCAGGAGCTGACCAGGCTTAGCTTCAGTGAGTAATCGGTCTCGGGCTGCAGGGTGATATGGCTGTGTCTGTGACTTATACTATGCTCATTAACTCCATTAAGCATACATGCAGTGCACCCTTGTATTCTATCCAAAGGAGACAGCAGTGATCTAACACTGACTAATAGATCGAACAAAGTGATGAGAAAAGCTAATTAATCATTGACTTTATTTCCTTTTTTTTCCAGAAACCTGGGGAAGTCTGGCCTGAGAGTCTCATGTCTTGGATTAGGTGAGTTTTGGGCTTCTTTATCAAGGCCTGTTGCAAAGTAGATAAGCAAAACCTGCAACCAACAAATCCAGCTTTTGTAGTTTCCTTTATTTTCTCTCTCGAGCGAGCAGATGTCATCAGTGTCAGACCTCTGAAAGCAATTGTTCAGTTCTCTTCAGCAGGGCATTACAGATTATCCATGTTATCTGCAGCTTCATCTTAAGGCTTTACTCTTCAGTGTCAGCGCTGGATCACTGATAATCATTTAGAGCTGCTTTATCTGCTGTGAAACACTGACTGATTGTAGATCTCTTTACAGGAACTTGGGTGACGTTTGGAGGACAGATCACGGATGAGGTATAATGAGTCTAAACACTGACTAAACGCTCTTGATGTCTATTTTATTTAAACCATGTTACTTTTATTGCTTAGTACTATGTCATAACTTCGCAAATTTAACAAACAGATTTCCTGCTACTGTAACTTGCATTGTGAGATCATTTTAATCGGCTTCATCATCACACAGTCAGTGCATTTGGACCTTCAAGACATGCAAAGCTCGTTATCTACTTGATAATGTCGGTCCATAACAACAGTGAGGATGTTATCATGGACAATAAGCATCACACACCCTTCACATATAAATGCATGCGATATAGTTTAATAGCCAGCTCGTACCGTACAAGTCCCTAAACATATTAACGATGCCGTACACAGTAACACAATGCAGAATGGAGTGTTTAATTATTGAATAGACTGCAACACCTTGAATGCTGGATCCTCCTCTTCTGACAGATGGCAGAGCAGCTGATGACTCTGGCGTACGAGAACGGGATCAATCTGTTCGACACGGCAGAGGTCTACGCTGCAGGAAAGTGAGTGCGCCAAAATAAGCACACAGCCCACCCTAGGAAATGAAAGAGCGCCACGGTACCATGTGGCAAATATGCTCTTTTTGTTTACTTTGTGTGTCCAATTTGGTTATCAAATTTAATGCTAATGGTACAGTGTATCTAACACCATAATAATCTCATGGCAATTATGTAATATTATTGGCGATAATAGCAGCATGTGACCATGGACTAGAGATCTGCGCGGGACTAAATTTTGAATCCCGCTCCCGCCCGCACCCGCCAGGTTTTAGCCGGAACGCGACCGCTCCCGCTTATATTAAGCACTTGATGTCCCACTGCCCGACCCGCCCCGTTTTCTATCCGCCGCGCCCGATCCCGCTAAAGAGCGGGGGAGAACAAAACCGAAAAATCACCCAGTTATACAGTCCAGACAGCCTATAACAAGCTGTCTGTATAAACACACATACGCACAGCACCAAGCACACACACACAGACAAAGCTTTCTCTCTCATTCGCGCGCGCGCGCCCTCTTAACACACACTCATAAGCACCAAGCACAAACACAGGCAATGAGGCAAAGCTCTCTATTTCTCATTCGCGCGCACACACACACACACACACACACACACACACATACACACATACACACATCTCTCATTCGCACGTGCGCATACATACACACACACACACACACACACACACACACAAACACATACTGCAACAAACAAGCTAAACACATCATCGCGCTATTTCATTTACACAAATACATACGCGTGCTCACTCGGGAGTCGGGAGCGATATTGCTAGACAGCCCGCTCCCGTCCCAAATTAAACCCGTTACCGACCGCTCCCGTGATTTATTCGGAAATTTATACCCGCGCCGTAGAAATCTGGTCGGCGCCCGCGGGAATGCAGACCTCTACCATGGACCACAAAATATGTGTTGCATGGCTGTATATTTCAATTGGTTATATGCAGAAGGACATTTAATTTTCTGTACCTCAGTTCAAGTGCATCTGGTGAACGTTATACCATCACAAATCTCCACGTTTAAGGTTTGTTTTCTTTAAAAAACCTCTGATCTTAAGTAGTTAGTTAGTTTATTTATATAGCACATTTTTTACAACACAACGTTGCCCAAAGTGCTGAACACAATCAATACTAAAAATAAAATCTACATCACATACATAACAATTAAAACAAAAGGCAAACCCCTCAACATTAAAAAGGCTCAAATACTAAAGAACAGAGATGGAGTTTCAGATGCTTTTTAAAAACGGATAGAGTTGGAGCGTGTCTGATGTGGGGCGGAAGCCCGTTCTAGAGTTTTGGGGCGACAACAGCAAAAGCCTGATCCCCACTTCGCTTACACTGGGACCCTGGTATGAATAAAATAAATTCATCAGATCTTTTGATCTTCACTGCCTGATTGATGTACAAAATAAAGTGGGTGTCAGAATGTACAAATGTCTTGATGAACTGCCACAAAAGCCAAGAAGAAGAGCAGATTTTACTGTGCCCTGTAGTTTTTTTTTGAGCTAGTCTAAAGCGCGAGTGCTTTCTCTTTCTTGCTTGTGCTCGCCGCACGTCTACATCTGAACTAACAAACTTCTTGAGCTCATTGTAATAACGTGCACTTGATTATTGATGTGCTTTTAAAAATCTGATCCTGTCAGAAACTGGCATACGTGATCAAACTGAACGTACGTGAGAAGCAAATTATTTTTTCAGCAAACGTGAACAAACTGCCATGTTTAACTATCATCATCGCCTTTTGGACTATTATGAACTGGGAATGACGGAATTATTCTTAAATAGAGGCTACATGTGCTGCTGAAGATTACAGACACAGATGAGAGATTTGCACTGACTGTGGGCTATATTTCGTGTTGTTTGAACGTAAATAAGGACTAAATGTATGCTGTGTGTAGTTATTCTATAATTGGTAATATAGGGGGCTGTATGTGTTCATATATGTTGCATTTCTATATTTATTTTATATAATTGCAGACGTTACAGTAGGCTATTTCGTATTGATCTGCAGTTATAATCAAATAATTTACGTAGAAAAGTTAGTAATAAACATTTACACGCAAGTATTTATCTGTATAAAGCATCTGTTTTGTGAGAAGTGCTTGTTACATGATATGTAAACGACCCAGACAGCTTTACTGTAGATATTTTCTTGAGCGAAAATGCCGTCAACTGAAACTTTCTGTCGTACACCACACTCACCAAAAGAGAACCATTGTTTAGCATTGTTTAGTACCCGTTTAGTAGTGGATACGCAAGCCTGATAAAGGTGACCCGTACCGACCTGTACTGTACCACTCAGTGGAAATGGGCCATTTGACAGTGGAAACGGCCATAGAAGTGTACCAAACCAAACCGTACCACACCACTCAGTGGAAACGGCCCAAAAAGTTTCAAATGCAAACATTATTTATCAACATAAGATGTAACATAAAGCTCTAATGTACATAGCTGATAAGAAAAATACTAAAAAGAACCATAATAATGTCAAAAAATAGCATAAAAATTTAAGTGTGGTGTAGGAAAGTCAATTTACTGTTAATCAGGTTCCAGATTTCCAGATTCAGTCGGTTAATTGGTCAGTCAGTCAGTCGACAGCAGCCTCTGGTGGATTTATGCAAGAACAGCAGGCTAGAATGGCACACGCGAGAGAAATTTGAGATCTCAAAAAGCATACACAGCGGCCTCTGGTGGATTCGCGAAACGTCAATCTCCTTTGACGTATTTGGCGCTCTCCAGAAATGTATATAGGGGTAGGTTTTCAGAATCACCTTGGGTTGGATGTTTTAATCTTATGCTGAGTTCAGACTGCATGATTTTTAAAGTAGTTGTGTCACAGATGTTTTCACACTGCATGACTATCTGGGCTAGCGTTTCGTCGCTGCTTTGTTTACACTGTAAGATTGATCAACGACAAAGGCTTTATATGGAACAAAATCAATGCCAAAAGTCTTGAATTAAAAAGCTTGTTGAATACCACCATATATCACCATATATAATATATCCATAGAGGCTTCCATAATGTATTTTTAAAGGGTATTGAATATTTTGTAAGTGAAATCTGAAAATTGAATATGAATTATTGAATTTTTAAGTATGAAAACGTGTTTGAAATATTTTTTCGTTGAAATATTCACAGCTTAAATAAACAGATATGTTAAATTTCAGGACCTAAAAATACAAACCCTGGAATTCAAGTCATTAAAATGCAAGAACTTGTTAATATGGTGTATTATTTTTTTCAGTTTGTGATATTCAACAAGCTTTTTAATTCAAGACTTTTGGCATTGATTTTGTTCCATAGCTTTAACATTGCATGACTTTACAATAGGAAGAATCGCTGACAACTTCACCCAAACTACGTCTCACAGCCAAAAACACGTAGTATATCTTTTGTTATTAACTACATAACGAGAAAGAAGCCTTTAATGAGGTGGAAAATGTACACGTTTGCTCACCTGGGTTTGAAGGGAATTAGCAATTTCTCCCCAACTTTCTTTTTAACTTTCAAACAGACATGGGTGCTCCTGTCAGACCTCCACTAGTTTTTCCTCCATTTCCTGGGTCCAAAAATAAACCGAAAAAGAGCGCTTTTAACTTCTCTCCCAGCCTCCCGCTGGCCTGCATGTACACACACACACACAAGTGAATGCTGCTCTCTCATTGGCTGTAGGTGATCGCCGATGTTATTTTCAGTCAGAACACATTTCACACGGCATGATTTGAATCGCAGACAGCTCCAGATATTCAGCACGCCAAATATCTCGCAGGCATCAGCGACTCATCGACAATTCTCTCAGATCGCGTCTTTGATAGATCATACTGTGTGATTGTCACTCACGTGCTCGAGCACCGATTTGTGATTTCACACATTTGTCGTCGATTTCTCCAAACCTGTCGGCGAGTCAAAATCGGGGCTAAAATCACGCAGTCTGAACTCGGCATTAGTTATCAAGTGAATTAAAATTTTTCAGTTCATGATGCTGTGGGTTTTATCTTGATATTTTAAATGCTACAGATATGAATGACATTAAACATCTAGAATATCCTAGCAACACCCTAGTAACTAAATCATGGACATGGCATTATAAAGGCTGATTTATACTTCTGCGTCTGACGCATAGCCCTTCGCCGTGGCCGTCGGCATCGCTGACGTGCACCTCTCAAAAATTGTAACGACGCGTTGTGCAAGCTCCGTGATTGGTCAGCTTGGTATCGCTGACGAGTCTGGGCGGGACCGAGAGCCGCGCGAAGGGCGCGAGCAGGACGTGAGCCCAATGGAGCGATTGTTTACAAGTGTGGAGTCCCGTGAAGTTTTGTTTTGTGTTTACCTCATAGTTAAAGTTGTTGCACGTCCGCCGGTTCCTGCCTCAAAATGAGCGAGTTTGAGCCACTTGTACATCCAGGAAGTGTTCCGGAAAAGCAAAACAGCAGAGAAGAAGCTCGACACAGAGGAACATTAACACCTCACTCCCAACTAGCGTTTCGGAAGTGTTAATGCAGACCAACAGAGACAGCGCGCAGAAGTATAAATGCACAGCTACGCGAGTTGCATGCGCCGTGGGTCACGACGGTCACTTGATGCAGAAGTATAAACCAGGCTTAACTGTTTATGACACAGTAGTGCCGTGGCAGTGGTTTTCACAGATGCTTCCCCTCAGAAAATGTGAGCTCTAGTTGTCAGTTTAATAAGTTCATTTGTTCTTTTTTTGCATGAACTTTCCTCAAGTTTTCTTTAAATGCAGAGTTCATGTCAAAAGGTGAATGCACATTTCTATGGCAGCTGACCCAGGGCATTGTTGGAAATGGCGTTCCTCTTCCATGTCTTGCGTGGGAGTTTGTGTTGAACTTGTCATAAACACTCAGCACAAAGCCAGCTGTGTTGATCTTGGGATCCGGGAAGGGCTCTAAACTGTCATTTGCATTTACTTATATGCCGGAAATCACAGTTGCAGACTGGGTATTACTTCTAGTTGGATCTTGGAAGG